GCAGTCAAGCGTCGATAATCATGTCACCGGAATAACATAATTGTAAAGGATAATCAAGCTCATAACCTTGCACTTTCACCACCCTGAAGTTCATCACAATTTATTTCATCAGTAGCCTAATAAACTGCATGCTTTCCCGACGAGTGTAGTGGGAGGACCACACATGTCATCGCGCGACTCCAAGTTTACTTCGATATGATAGTTATTAAATCAATATTTGCGCATAAGCGTTTCCACCGACATTTCCTCACAATTTATTTTACCGACACAAAAAGATCCCACCTTGTCTAGCGTATTTTGTTTTATCGACATTTGGAAAGTTAAACGAAAAAATTTGTTTCCATCAGGCCGTCATTACATTTTTTGTCCGACATGTACAGTTGCTTGCGAAAATATTCACCCCCCCCTTGGCATTTTTCCTATTTTGTTACCTTACAACCTGGAATTAAAATGGATTTTTTGGGGGTTTGTATCATTTTGATTTACACAACATACCTACCACTTTGAAGATGCAAAATATTTTTTCTTGTGAAACAAACAAGATATAAGACGACAAAACAGAACTTGAGCGTGCATTACTATTCACCCCCCCAAAGTCAATACTTTGTAGAGCCACCTTTTGCAGCAATTACAGCTGCAAGTCTCTTGGGGTATGTCTCTATAAGCTTGGCACATCTAGCCACTGAGATTATTGCCCATTCTTCAAGGCAAAACTGCTCCAGCTCCTTCAAGTTGGATGGGTTCCGCTGGTGTACAGCCCTCTTTAAGTCATACCACAGATTCTCAATTGGATTGAGGTCTTTGACTAGGCCATTCCAATACATTTAAATGTTTCCCCTTAAACCACTTGAGTGTTGCTTTAGCAGTATGCTTAGGGTCATTGTCCTGCTGGAAGGTGAACCTCCGTCCCAGTCTCAAATCTCTGGAAGACTGAAACAGGTTTCCCTCAAGAGTTTCCCTGTATTTAGTGCCATCCATCGTTCCTTCAATTCTGACCAGTTTCCCAGTCCCTGCCGATTAGAAATAAATCCCCACAGCATGATGCTGCCACCACCATGCTTCACTGTGGGGATGGTGTTCTCGGGGTGATGAGACGTGTTGGGTTTGCGCCAGACATAGCGTTTTCCTTGATGGCCAAAAAGCTAAATTTTAGTCTCATCTGACCAGAGTACCTTCTTCCATATGTTTGGGGAGTCTTCCACATGCCTTTGGCGAACACCAAACGTGTTTGCTTATTATTTTCTTTAAGCAATGGCTTTTTTCTGGCCACTCTTCCGTAAAGCCCAGTTCTGTGGAGTGTACGGCTTAAAGTGGTCCTATGGACAGATACTCCAATCTCCGCTGTGGAGCTTTGCAGCTCCTTCAGGGTTTTCTTTGGTCTCTTTGTTGCCTCTCTGATTAATGCCCTCCTTACCTGGTCTGTGAGTTTTGGTGGGCGTCCCTCTCTTGGCAGGTTTGTTGTGGTGCCATATTCTTTCCATTTTTTAATAATGGATTTAATGGTGCTCCGTGGGATGTTCAAAGTTTCTGATATTTTTTTATAACCCAACCCTGATCTGTACTTCTCCACAACTTTGTCCCTGACCTGTTTGGAGAGCTCCTTGGTCTTCATGGTGCCGCTTGCTTAGTGGTGTTGCAGACTCTGGGGCCTTTCAGAACAGGTGTGTGTGTGTGTATACAGTGGGGAAAAAAAGTATTTAGTCAGCCACCAATTGTGCATGTTCTCCCACTTAAAAAGATGAGAGAGGCCTGTAATTTTCATCATAGGTACACGTCAACTATGACAGACAAATTGAGAAAAAAAAATCCAGAAAATCCCATTGTAGGATTTTTAATGAATTTATTTGCAAATTATGGTGGGAAATAAGTATTTGGTCACCTACAAACAAGCAAGATTTCTGGCTCTCACAGACCTGTAACTTCTTCTTTAAGAGGCTCCTCTGTCCTCCACTCGTTACCTGTATTAATGGCACCTGTTTGAACTTGTTATCAGTATAAAAGACACCTGTCCACAACCTCAAACAGTCACACTCCAAACTCCACAATGGCCAAGACCAAAGAGCTGTCAAAGGACACCAGAAACAAAATTGTAGACTTGCACCAGGCTGGGAAGACTGAATCTGCAATAGGTAAGCAGCTTGGTTTGAAGAAATCAACTGTGGGAGCAATTATTAGGAAATGGAAGACATACAAGACCACTGATAATCTCCCGCAATCTGGGGCTCCACGCAAGATCTCACCCCGTGGGGTCAAAATGATCACAAGAACGGTGAGCAAAAATCCCAGAACCACACGGGGGGACCTAGTGAATGACCTGCAGAGAGCTGGGACCAAAGTAACAAAGCCTACCATCAGTAACACACTACGCCGCCAGGGACTCAAATCCTGCAGTGCGAGACGTGTCCCCCTGCTTAAGCCAGTACATGTCCAGGCCCATCTGAAGTGCATTTGGATGATCCAGAAGAGGATTGGGAGAATGTCATATGGTCAGATGAAACCAAAATATAACTTTTTGGTAAAAACTCAACTCGTCATGTTTGGAGGACAAAGAATGCTGAGTTGCATCCAAAGAACACCATACCTACTGTGAAGCATGGGGGTGGAAACATCATGCTTTTGGGCTGTTTTTCTGCAAAGGGACCAGGACGACTGATCCGTGTAAAGGAAAGAATGAATGGGGCCATGTATCGTGAGATTTTGAGTGAAAACCTCCTTCCATCAGCAAGGGCATTGAAGATGAAACGTGGCTGGGTCTTTCAGCATGACAATGATCCCAAACACACCGCCCGGGCAACGAAGGAGTGGCTTCGTAAGAAGCATTTCAAGGTCCTGGAGTGGCCTAGCCAGTCTCCAGATCTCAACCCCATAGAAAATCTTTGGAGGGAGTTGAAAGTCTGTGTTGCCCAGCGACAGCCCCAAAACATCACTGCTCTAGAGGAGATCTGCATGGAGGAATGGGCCAAAATACAAGCAACAGTGTGTGAAAACCTTGTGAAGACTTACAGAAAACGTTTGACCTGTGTCATTGCCAACAAAGGGTATATAACAAAGTATTGAGAAACTTTTGTTATTGACCAAATACTTATTTTCCACCATCATTTGCCAATAAATTCATTAAAAATCCTACAATGTGATTTTCTGGATTTTTTTTTCTCATTTTGTCTGTCATAGTTGACGTGTACCTATGATGAAAACTACAGGCCTCTCTCATCTTTTTAAGTGGGAGAACTTGCACAATTGGTGGCTGACTAAATACTTTTTTTCCCCACTGTATATACTGAGATCATGTGACACTTAGATTGCACACAGGTGGACTTTTAAACTAATTATGTGACTTCTGAAGGTAATTGGTTGCACCAGATCTTATTTAGGGGTTTCATAGCAAAGGGGGTGAAAACATGCACTACCGTTCAAAAGTTTGGGGTCACTTAGAAATGTATTTGTTTTCGTCCATTTAAAATAACATCAAATTGATCAGAAATAGTGTAGACATTGTTAATGTTGTAAATGGCTATTGTAGCTGGAAACTGCAGATTTTTATGGAATATCTACATAGGCGTACAGAGGCCCATTATCAGCAACCATCAGTCCTGTGTTTCAATGGCACGTTGTTTGCTAATCCAAGTTTATCATTTTAAAAGGCTAATTGATCATTAGAAAACCCTTTTGCAATTATGTTAGCACAGCTGAAAATTGTTGTACTGATTTAAAGAAGCAATAAAACTGGCCTTCTTGAGAGTAGTTGAGTATCTGGAGCATCAGCAATTGTGGGTTCGATTACTGGCTCAAAATGGCCAGAAACAAATAACTTTCTTCTGAAAGTCGTCAGTCTATTCTTGTTCTGAGAAATGAAGGCTATTCCATGCGAAAAATTGCCAAGAAACTGAAGATCTCGTACAACGCTGTGTACTACTCCCTTCACAGAACAGCGCAAACTGGCTCTAACCAGAATAGAACGAGAAGTGGGAGGCCCCGGTGCACAACTGAGCAAGAGGACAAATACATTAGTATCTAGTTTGAGAAACGGGCACCTCACAGGTCCTCAACTGGCAGCTTCATTAAATAGTACCCGCAAAACACCAGTCTCAACGTCAACAGTGAAGAGGCGACTCCGGGATGCTGACCTTCTAGGCAGAGCTGCAAAGAAAAAGCCATATCTCAGACTGCCCATCTTAATATTTTCTTTTTATTGGCCAGTCTGAGATATGGCTCTTTCTTTGCTTCTTTAATCAGCGCAACAGTTTTCAGCTGTGCTAACGTAATTGCAAAAGGGTTTTCTAGTAATCAATTAGCCTTTTAAAATGATAAACTTGGATTAGAAAACACAACGTGCCATTGGAACACAGGACTGATGGTTGCTGATAATGGGTCTCTGTACGCATATGTAGATATTCCGTAAAAAATCAGCCGTTTCCAGCTACAATAGCCATTTACAACATTAACAATGTCTACATTGTATTTCTGATCAATTTGATGTTATTTTAATGGACAAAAAAATTGCTTTTCTTTCGAAAACAAGGACATTTCTAAGTGACCCCAAACTTCTGAACGGTAGTGTATGAACGCACCACTTTTCTGTTATTTATTTTTTAGCATTTTTTGAATTTTTTTATTTTTTTCACTTCACCAATTTGGACTATTTTGTGTATGTCCATTACATGAAATCCAAATATAAATTCATTTAAATTACAGGTTGTAATGCAACAAAATAGGAAAAATGCTAAGGGGGATGAATACTTTTGCAAGGCACTGTACTTTACTCGCATAGAAAGGTTTGATGGAAACCTGGTTTGTGTCACCATAAAAGGAGGGCGTTTTTCAAACTGAGTTATAATGCTCGTTCACACACGCAGTTTTATGACCGGTCTGATTTATAAATCTCATATATTTGTACATGCGCAGACATTTCAGAAATGGTGCATGCAGATATTTAGTGTGACATTTACGCTATGTTTATAGATGAGGCCCCTGGCTTCTAAATTTTAACATTTTACTACTTTTTTTTACCAGTGCCTGGGACTGCAGGAAACCAGCTTGAAGCAAAGATTGACAAGCCAAGCCGTGTGCATTGGATGTGCTACAAAAAGACAGATGACTTTTTCACACTTTGGATTGACCTGAATATGTTCATGCCAATTGGGATTGACTGTTGGATCGATAATATAAGGTGAGGGGGAGAATGAATATGATCCATGTCAAAATAATTATGTTTAGATCTTATGATTAATTCAATCATTGTAACTCTTAGGGAGCATTTGCTAATTGTTCATTGTTGTATCAATAAATAATGCACTGTAATAGAAGAGCGACGCATACAACCACAACTCTATTTTCACAAGTTTGATATTGAGTGCTCAGCATTTTAGTGGTTGGGTTCATTTCCTTATGCAATAACATTCTGTACATACTGCATATTTCCTGCTACAGAATTGTATACAATAGGACAACTCGCAAGTCATCCAATTCTGCAGGGGTGTCTGTGAGAGTGCCTGGTTTTGGACAGACATATACTGTTGAGTTCTTGGACAAAAACAAGCTGTCAGGTGAGAACAACCATAATGAGGCCATTTTTTCTTATGTTTTCTTTTTGATTATGATTTCATTGAATGAAATCTTTCCTTTTCCAGGTTATTTTAATAATATGGTTACACATTTGGTCAACATGGGATATGTCCGCAATGAGGCTGTCCGAGCAGCACCATATGACTTCAGAGTAGCTCCAAGTAAGTGACATCATGGACACACACACACACCATCCAACTGAAAATCACTTTCCTGTAGTGCAACTCATTCATTGTTTGTGCACACATGCTTACACATAATGTGAATGTTCCTATTTGTCTCACCTTATTAGACGAGCAGGAGGAATACTTTGCACGACTGAAGAAGCTGGTTGAGGATATGTACGAACAGTATCAACAACCACTTTACCTCCTGGGACACAGCATGGGAAGCAATTATGTCCTCTACTTCTTATATCAGCAGACCCAGGCTTGGAAAGACCAATACATCAAAGGCTTCATTTCACTTGGAGCACCCTGGGGTGGGGCAGTCAAGACCCTTCGAGTGCTAGCATCAGGTACTGTATGTCACAATTTGGTGGACAGATTGAACAACCTCCCCCATAGTAGAAACATGATATACTTGACAGAACCTGATAACCGGGTTGAAGTAGATCACATTGACAGTAGTCACTTCATATTGCTAAAAAAAATTTGACTTGCGGGTGAAAGTAGAATTAATTTATTTCCCAGTACGGGACCTCCTATATATGCACCTAATCATAGAATTACATATGGAATCCCTGTTAATTCAATAGGATCTCTGTGGGCCTAGTTGTAAAGATTTGTAATTTAGCTTTTAAAATGTATTACTGGACCTTTTATTGTGGCATAAACACAACCAGTCATGTTTTTATCTGATTGTCAAACAATCACTTAAGAGCTTCTCTACTAGGCTATCTGTGCACGTTCATCCCCTCGCAACATATTTCCAGCCTCCAAACAGTGGTGAATGGAAAGCGACATCTGTTACACAAAACACCAAAAGTGCCCCCACTATTTATTTTGCCGGGACGCCATACCGGACCGCCTTGCCCACATCTTCATTTTCTTGAAAGGGGGGTAGGTCAGGTTTGTCTGGATTACTTTGGCGAGTCACACATTGGCTGGAGATTGCCAAGAGAAAATAATTGATATGAAATGATAACAATTGTCTCCGCAGGTGAAAATCTTGGCATCCCACTGGTGTCCAACATCAAGATCCGGGAGCAGCAGCGGATGACCACCACAAACCCCTGGATGCTTCCATTTGAAGAGGCCTGGCCTGCAGACCACGTCTTCATCTCCACGCCATCATTCAACTATACCCGCCAGGACTACCAGCGCTTCTTTAAAGACATTGACTTTGAGGATGGCTGGTTCATGTGGGAAGATACCAGAAACCTGACAGCTGGTCTGCCCCCTCCTGGTGTTGAGATATACTGCTTCTATGGTGTGGGGCTGCCCACACCGGTTACTTATATTTATGACGACCAGTTCCCAAATGCAGACCCCATAGACTATGTGTATGCTGATGGGGATGATACAGTGGACAGTCTTAGCATGGGTCTATGTAAACGCTGGATAGGGAAGCAAGCACAGCCTGTCCATGTCAAGGAATTCAGGTCTATGCCCCACATGGAAATAGTATTAAATAGGAAGGTGATCAACGTGGTCCAGAGTATTCTGGAGGGAAGATATGGCGAAGAGGATTCTACATTCCATGAGACTGATGAACGTCCCATTGATTCCCCAGTCATGCAAGATCAGGCCCAGCCGGACCAGCCTCCCAAATCTACACTGTAAACTTTTGGGGAGAAAATGATTCACCCTCCCAATATACATACTATTACTGATGCCAGTAGGCTAGCTACGGAGGTGGACTTACACACTGAGTGCACAAAACATTAGGAACACCTGCTCTTTCCATGACATAGACTGACCAGGTGAATCCAGGTGAAAGCTATGATCCCTTATTGATGTTACTTGTTAAATGCACTTCAATCAGTGTAGATGAAGGGGAGGAGACTTTTAAGCCTTGAGACATGGAAAGTGAATGTGTGCCATTAGACAAAATATGTAAGTGCCTTTGAACGGGGTATGGTAGTAGGTGCCAGGCGCACCGGTTTGAGTGTGACAAGAACTGAAACTCTGCTGGGTTTTTTCACACTTGAGTTTAGCGTGTGTATCAAGAATGGTCCACCATCCAAAGGACATCCAGCCAACTTGACACAACTGTGGGAAGAATTGGAGTCAACATGGGCCAGCATTCCTGTGGAACGCTTTCGACACCTTGTTGTAGAGTCCCATGCCCTGATAAATTGAGGCTGTTTTGAGGGCAAAAGGGTGTGCAACTCAATATTAGGAAGGTGTTCTTAATGTTTTGTTCATTCGGTGTACACAGTGCATTCGGAAAGTATTCAGACTCCTTTCCCTTTTCCACATTTTGTTACCTTACAGCCTTATTCTAAAATGGATAAAGTACAACATTTTCCTCATCAATCTACAGACAATACCCCATAAAACAAGTTTTAGACATTTTTGCAAATAAAAAACTGAAATATCACATTTACATAAGTATTCAGACCCTTTGCTATGAGACTCGAAATTCAGCTCCGGTGCGTCCTGTTTCCATTGATCATCCTTGATGTTTCTACAACTTGATTAGAGTCCACCTGTGGTAAATTAAATTGATTGGACATGATTAGACACCTGTCTATATAAGGTCCCACAGTTGACAGTGCATGTCGGAGCAAAAACCAAGCCATAAGGTCGAAGGAATTGTCCGTAGAGCTCCGAGACAGGATTGTGTCGAGGCACAGATCTTGGGAAGGGTACCAAAAAATGTCTGCAGTATTGAAGGTCCCCAAAAACACAGTGGCCTCCATAATTCTTAAATGGAAGAAGTTTGGAACCATCAAAGACTCTGAAATTCAAAGAAAATTTAAGGAGAGGGGGTACAAAAATGGTCAGATTAATACTGCCATTGAGAAAATACAAAAAACTAATCTGAAGACATTTTTTAAATCGACCAAGGCGTTTGTCTACAATGTGAGTTTCTGATATTTTACTGTATTTAGTCTTTGGACACATGGGGTTACTGTTTTTTACACATTGCATGAATCAAGTTGTGTAAATATGTGTTCAATTGATCAGCTCTTAATAATTTTTGGCATAGAGATTGACTGGACATACAGTTGCTTCAGAAAGTATTCATACCCCTTGACTTATTCCACATTTTGCGTTACAGCCTGAAATCAAAATGGATTAAATCCCCAAAAAAAACGCACCCATCTACACACAATACCCCATAATGTAAGTGAAAACACGTTTTTAGAAATGTTATTCACACCCGAATCAATCCTTTGTAGAAGCACCTTTTGGCTACGATTACAGCTTTGAGTCTTCTTGGGTATAAGTCTGGGCTTTGGCTGGGTCACTCAAGGACTTTCACATTCTTGTTCTGAAGCCATTCCAGCATTGCTTTGGCTGTATGCTTGGGGGCATTGTCTTGTTGGAACGTAAATATTCGCCCCAGTCTAAGGTTGTTTGCACTCTGAAGCAGGTTCTCATCAAGGATTTGCCTGTATTTGACTCCATTCATTGTTCCCTCTATTCTTACCAGTCTCCCAGTCCTTGCTGCTGAAAAGCATCCCCATCGCATGATGCTGCCACCACCATGCTTCACGGTAGGGATGGTGTTAGATGGGTGATGAGCTGAGCTGGGTTTTCTCCAGACATAGTGCTTTGCATTCAGGCCAAATTGTGAAAAGAAATTCTCATCAGACCACAAAATGTTGCCTTCTGCTCTTTCATGTGCCTTTTTGCAAACTCCATGCGTGCTGTCATGTGCCTTTTTCTGAGGAGTGGCTTCCGTCTGGCTACTCTCCCATGAAGCACAGATTGGTGAAGTGCTGTAAAGACTTTTATCCTTCTGGAAGGTTCTCCCATCTCACCTCCCTGACCAAGGTCCTTCTTGCCCGATTACTCAGTTTGGTCAGACGGCCAGTTCTAGGCAGAGTCTGGGTAGTTCCATATTTCCCAATGATGTGCTCTTGGAAACTTTCAACACTCTAGAAATTGTTTTAGGGAAGGAAAGGGGGATACCTAGTCAGTTGCACAACTGAATGCATTCAACCGAAATGTGTCTTGCGCTTTTAACCCAACTCTCTGAATCCGAGAGGTGCGGGGGGCTGCCTTAATCGACGTCATCGGCGCCCGGGGAGCAGTTGTTGTTGGGGGTTAAAGGCCTTGCTCAAGGGCAGAACGGCAGATTTTTTCCACGTTGCCGGCTCAGGGATTTGAACCAGCGACCTTTCGGTTACTGGCCCAATGCTCTTGACCGCTAGGCTACCTGGCACCCAGGTGTATATACTATATACACTGAACAAAAATATAAACGCAACATGTAAAGTGTTGGTCCCATTTTCCATAGGCACAAAAAGCTTATTTCTGTCGAATTTTGTTGCCAAGTTTGTTTACATCCCTTTTGGTGAGCATTTCTCATTTGCAAAGATAATCCATCCACCTGACAGGTGTGGCATATCAAGAAGCTGATTAAACGGCATGATCATTACACAGCTGCACCTTGTGCTGGGGACAATAAAAGGCCAATCTAAAATGTGCAGTTTATCACACAACAAAATGCCACAGATGTCTCAAGTTTTGAGGTAAAGTGCAATTGGCATGCTGACTGCAGGAATGTCCATCAGAGCTGTTGCCAGAGAAATTGTTAATTTCTCTATCATAAGCCGCCTCCAACGTAGCTTTCGAGAATTTGGCAGTACGTCCAACCGGCCTCAACCGCAGACCACATGTAACCACGCCAGCCCAGGGCTTCCACATCCGGCTTCTTCACCTGCGGGATCGTCTGAGACCAGCCACCCGGACAGCTGATGAAACTGTGGATTTGCACAACTGAAGAATATCTGCACAAACTGTCAGAAACAGGGAAGCTCTTCTGCGTGCTCGTCGTCCTCACCAGGGTCTTGACCTGACTGCAGTTTGCAAATGCAAATGCAGTTAACAGACTTCAGTGGGCAAATGCTCACCTTAGATAGCCACTGGCACGCTGGAGAAGTGTGCTCGTCACGGGTTAATCCCGGTTTCAAGTGTACTGGGCCGATGGCAGACGACGTGTGGCCGAGTGGTTTGCTGATGTCAACATTGTGAACATAGTGCCCCATGGTTATGGTGTGGGCAGGCATAAGCAACGGACAATGAACACAATTGCATTTTATCGATGGCAATTTGAATGCACAGATACACTGTGACAAGATCCAAAAGCCCATTGTCATGCCATTCATCCGCCACCATCACCTCATGTTTCAGCATGATAATGCACGGCCCATGTCGCAAGGATCTGTACACAACTCCTGGCAGCTGAAAATGTCCCAGTTCTTTCATGGCCTGCATACTCACCAGACATGTCACCCATTGAGCATGTTTGGGATGCTCTGGATCGACGTGTACAACAGCGTGTTCCAGTTCCTGCCAAGATCCAGCAACTTTGTACAGCCGTTGAAGAGGAGTGGGACAACATTCCACAGGCCACAATCAACAGCCTGGTCAACTCTATGTGAAGGAGATGTGTCGCGCTGTATGAGTCAAATTGTGGTCACACCAGATACTGACTGGTTTTCTGACCACGCCCCTACCTTTTTATAAGGTATCGGTGACCAACAGATTAATATCTGTATTCCCAGTCATGTGAAATCCATAGATTAGGGCCTAAATAATTTATTTAAATTGACTGATTTCCTTATGAACTGTAACTCAGTAAAATCTTTGAAATTCTTGCATGTTGCATTTATATTTGTGTTCTGTGTAGACAGGTGTTTATTTATAAATCATGTCCAATCAAGTTGTAGCGACATCTCAAGGATGATCAAAGGAAATTGGATGCACCTGAGCTCAATTTAGGGTGTCATCGCAAAGGGGTGCGAATACTTATGTAAATGAGGTATTTCTGTATTTATTTTTCAATACATTTTCTAAAAAATCTCCAACATTTTTTTCACTTTCATTATGGGGTATTGTGTGAATGTAGATGGATATTTAATCAATTTTTAATTCAGGCTGTAACAACAATGTGGAATAAGTCAAGGGGTATGAATACTTTCTGAAGGCACTGTATATAAAAACATTACCTAAAGAAATCAACACACTCCCCCCCCCCCCCCCCCCCCCCCCACACACAGTATATACAGTAATCAAATCAAATTATTTCACATACACGTTTAGCAGATGTTTGGGTGTAGCGAAATGCTTGTGCTTCTAGCTCGGACAGTGCAGTAATATCTAACAAGTAATATCTAACAATTTCACAACATATACCCAATACACACAAATCTAGTAAGGAATGGAATTTAAGAATATGTACATATATGAACAAGCAATGACAGAGCGGCATGGACTAAGATACTATAGAATATAGTATATACATATGAGATGAGTAGTGCAAGATATGTAAACATTATTAAAGTGACTAGTATTCCATTGAGTGGCCAGTGATTTCAATAGGCAGCAGCAGCCTCTAATGTGCTAGTGCTAGGCTATTTAATAGTCTCATGGCCTTGAGATAGAAGCTGTTCTATAGGCAGCATTCTCTCGGTCCCAGCTTTGATGCACCTGTACTGACCTCGCCTTCTGGATGATAGCGGGGTGAACAGACAGTGGCTCGGGTGGTTGATGTCCTTGATGATCTTTTTGGCCTTCCTGTGACATCGGGTGCTGTAGGTGTCTTGGAGGGTGGGTAGTTTGCCCCCGGTAACGCGTTCGGCAGATCGCACCACCCTCTGGAGAGCCCTGCAGTTGCGGGCAGTGCAGTTGCCGTACCAGGCGGTGATGCAGC